TTCGTTAGTGCTCAGTTTTGCCCCCAAAGATGTCGCAGTAGTCAGTATTCTTCTTTTGAGCTGGGCGGATACCGCGGCGTCAACTGTGGGAAGAGCCTGGGGAAAGTACACGCCCAAAGTGGCCCAGGGGAAGTCTTTGGCTGGGTGTTTGGCAAGTTTCTTTGTGGGTGTACTTGTGTGCTACTTTTACTATGGATACCTTGTGCCAAAGTACCAAGTAGACAGCATTGGTGATAACTATTACTCTGAGTCCAGCAGCCACTTGAGCTTTCCTTATTATGCCTTCGCAACAGGACTCGTTACCTCGTTCTCGGAGGCTGTGAACGTGGCCGGCCTTGATGACAACTTCACTATTCCCGTCATAAGCTCCGTGGTTTTGTCTGGACTCATATATGCAAACCACACATAGCCCAAGATGTTTTGTCGGCTCATTGTATTACTAGGATGGACCTCATTCCTTTTTGAACCTGAAGGTGTAATTTTTAATGCGCAAAGCGCGCTGTTTTTTATAGTTTTATTCTAAGTTATTATATATTCACAATGCTCTTCGCATATGATGACTTTGGCACATTGATATTCCTTGAGTGGTGCTTTTGACATCGCCAAGCGTTTTACTTCAAGTAGAAACACAAGGGCTAGTACCTGCAAGCAATTTAATTCAGCTGCTTGATTGTGTCGAATGAACAAACTTTAGTTTGTTGCAACTTCCTTTCCACATACGCTTCTGTATCATGTGATATCGCTGCACTTTGTGAAACTTTTCTAGATGTTTGTGATCAGGCATTGTTCACCGGCTTCATTTTTCATATGACCCCCATTTGGGGCCTCAACCCATACTCCTTCAGATTCCAGAATTGTTTCTACATTATTTTGTGGATAGTGGTTTTAGCGCAACCTATGATATATCAATGGCAAATGGAACGAGTCGTTGCGTTGGAGCGCACAAGATCTCAAGCAGAATAACCTTCTTGATCAACAATCCTGGCAAATATTTTGTGACTTGTTTTCTTCACGTCTGTCTCCACAATGAAGGCAGCGAAAATGAAGGAGGATGTCAATTATTGTTGGTATGGGCTATATTGGCTTGAGCTATATTGGTATAAAAGTACTGGCAAGGGATGTACATTGATTGTTCCAGGAGAGCCATTTATTGGACTCTTTCAGCCTCCAGAGAAATTTTCTTTTCGTAAATAGGTTTCTCCGTAAAGGTGGGTCCTGTTGGCATAGAGGTACCTGCCCTGTTCCAGTTGTGTATACTGTGCGCGCAACAATGCATGATCGGCCACCCTTCCGGAACGACGAAACTTCCGAGTTCCGGATTCAAGACACGCGGCCCACCCCGAAGTTCCGTGGTGCATTGGATGTCAACTCGGGTATGGCATTAGATGCAGTACCGGGCTACGCCCGACCACCTCGAGTGCGAGGCCAAACTCTCTTGATAACAAACACTTTCAATATCCGATGGTTAGATAAATGGAATGACAAATTGTATGTTTTCAAATAAATTTTCTTGGGACAAATTGCAAAGTTTTTGTATAGTAAAGCTATATGAGGGGATCCTCCACCTTTAGGCTTGTCGCGGGAGGTGTGTATATGGGAAGTCAGGCCCTGGCTCCGTGCGGCCCTGACCGAAACACGAGGCGCTTAACATGCGGCAGGAATTTCGCCACCATACGGCTTCAAGATAAGCCGGTGCAATACCCAAAATACCTGCGCGGCGAACATATCAGAGAATCTGTACAAATACAGCAGATTTGAATATGAGCGGAGCTCAAAGATATGCCAATTGGCTAGCAGGCTAAATCCAGAGCTCTGGTAAATGTGGCTATTTTTCAAACCTCTGCGCACAAGAAAACGTCAATGAAATAGGACTGACAGAAAAGGCAAGTCATGTCTGCATTGATTTAAAAATTGAGTGTGAACATCATGTAGCAATGATTTCGATATCTTGCTGACATTGACGCACTGGAAGAATTACTCATCGTTTGATTTATGTACCCGTAATTGTAAAACGCTCCCCTCATATTATGCGGTCTCGGCCGAGGAGCCTGTTTTGGCAGTCCGCATGTACGCCCCAGAAAATTAGACTCCACAGATGCTGATGATAAAATCTATTCCGCAACATTCGTTCGCTTGCTCCTGAACCTAGACTTATCTTCATATTTCATTCCGCTC